TCACCTTCTCTGCCCTAGGAGCTTGGGATGGCAGCAGGGGAGCTTCCTTCCGGGTTCTGGGACCGGCTCAGCTTCTCTGCCCTAGGAGCCTGGGATGGAGGCGGGGAGCTCTCTGCTAAAATTCTTGTTAAAGTTATTTCCAAGTCTTTTTTCTCCTTTTATGATTGAACTATTTTCCAATTATACTTCCCATATTTTCTAGCTGATTCTTTCTGGTCTGTAGTGAACGTACTTATTTTAGTTTATCTATTTTATATTCTAAAAGTTTACTGAATTTTAGTCAATGGAGTTACCATTTGATTTTCCTGGTTGATTATTGAAATAATACATCCACAACTAGTAATGGTTTTGCCTTCATCAAATTTTTCTTTGCTATAACTTCTAGAAAAATAGCACAGTTGGATGTTATCCTGGTTTTTTTTTTGGTTTTTTTTTGGTACCAGGGATCGAACTCAGGGCCTTGCGCTTGCGAGCCAGGCAGAGGAACCACTGAGCTAAATCTCCAGCCCCAGATGCTATCCTGTTTTAATGAAAATCCTTGTGTTGCTTTTACCATTAGTGAAAAATTGTACAAGTTTTACTTATTTTTTAATTATCATGTCAAGGAATTCTTACACTTTTAAAAATTGGTAATAAGTGTGGATTTTTATCCATTTTCAAAGCAGCTACTTCTCAAGTGATTACTTGGTTTTCCTTTTTTCTCTCTGATCATTAATATGCTATTTTAAAGTAACGACACTTCAGTAGCAACAGAAACCCACCGTCATTCCCCTGGGTGATGGTGTCCCAGATGGGTCTCTAGGCTCTAGAGGGTGATGAACAAAGAATCGGACATGCCACGTGACAGCAAGGAGAGGCAGCAAAGCCTCACGTTGGTGACAGCGCCACTGGGAGTGCGCAGCTCAGGCAGTGGGAAGGGAGATGGCACGCACGAGCGCTTCAGGGTATTGGGTTTAAAGGCTGTGCTGCATCTAGGGCACCTCCTATGGGGTCTTCCAGAGGGTGCAGTGTGGCTGGCAGGGTGCCGTCCTCTCAGCTGTGTCTGCCGCACACGCCCTTCCCCACAGCTCAGTATGTTACAGCCGGGTGTGTGAGACGCAGCCCAGTGCATGAACCTGCAGGGAGTGCCAGGTGAGGAGAGATTACTGCTGGTCATGCTGGAGCTTCCAGCAAGCATGTGTTTTATCTCTGCCTCTGAGGAGCAGCTCTAGGACAAAGGTCGGCCCCGCCCTGTAGCCAAGCTTCCAGGGAGTGGAGGGGACTGGCCCATCAGCCCCAATTGCGCTGTGTAATTTCAAATACACTGCTTTTCCCCAAGTTTTAAAAAAATATTAATTCTCGGTGAGATTGGTGGGCCTGTAGTTTTATTCCCAGATTCCAAAGCAGCACTCTGCCAGCTTTGTGTAATGAAAGGGGATGCTTCCTTCCTTTAACATTGTGGAGCCAGCGTATGAAATGTCCGAACTGTCAAAGCTTGGTATCTTTAACTTGTAAATTTGTGTAGGCCTGAAGTGTCTTTGGTGGGAGATTCACTGAAAACTTCCCAATATATTTCAGGGCTGTTGGTATATTGGGATTTTTATTCTTACTTAGTTAGGTTGAGCAATTTATATTTTTTCATATAGTGGGGATTTTTAAATGCACTAGCATACACTTGTAGATCATATTCTTATAATGTCTTGGATAATGCATGTGTCTCATTCACCTATCTTAAGAAATTCATCAAAGATTCGTCTATTTAGTAGGTTTATTCCTTTTTCCAAAGAGAAAGTTTTTGAATTAATTTATAAAATCTACGATTTTTCTGGTTTGTTGGGTTAAGATTATTTTCTAACAAGCAGCAGCCACCTGACATCTTCCAAGCCCTGCAGGACCCACCTTCTTGTATGCACTAGCTATCTGCCTGAAAAGCTGTGTGTCAATGACATCTTTACAGAGTTGTGCTTTACACTGATTTGTGTTTTCACTTCACAAGGGTTTTATTTTCATTTCTTGAATGTTCAGTGATCTGTAGTTAATGTTTTCCTTTAAAAAACCCCACCTCTCCAGCACCAGGGAGCCCTGATATTTAGAGTGTCTTATTTCTCTGATGCAAAGTACTGTGCTTGCTTATTTATCTAACTTGCCACCCCAATTTCTTTGTTTTTATGCAGTAGGGATCCCCTAAGTGGGATATAGCTATATGTTCCCCACTAGAGGGAGCTATGTTCCAGCGCTGGGAAGCCTGGGTTAGCAGGTCACCTTCACTGGCTATGCACTACTCTTAAGGAAAACAAGCTTAGGTCTTTGCTTTGTTTCTCTTATGCATAATCCCAGTGTCTCTGGAGGTTGCACTGTGTGACTGTGAGGTCAAAGCGAGGAGGAGGAGGGGGCAGAGGTTTTCTAGCTTCCCCGGAGGAATCCAGAGGTTGCGGTAACTTGTCATGTTTGCAGACTGTTTCTGTGGACCTGGGTCTGGGGACAAGGCGACGCACCCACGCACGCACACACGCACACACGCACACATGCATGCGCGGCAGCCTCGTGTGCAGCTGTAACAGAGGGGACCAGTGCCTGCGCTGGTCACACCCTTCTGTGTGGCACCAGAGCCCACGGGATGCAGAGGATGGGGCTCCTGGCCTTTGCCTGTGGCCCTTCCCATCCCTGTGTTCCTGGGAGCAGCACCGGAGCTGGGGCTGCTGTTCCCATCCAGCGTGCCTCAGTTTCCCCTTGGGCTTCCTGTGAAACCAGCATTGTCTCATGCTTGCCTTTCAGAGAAACACTCGCTCTGCTTGCTGTCTGGGTAGTTCTTTCCCAGCCTCCTGCGGTTTTTGCCCTTGCTGGTCTTTCCCTCCACTCATCTCTGCACTTTGTCCCTTTAAAGGGTTCTCAGCATTCTGGTGGCTTTGTCACTACCGTGCTGTGTCTTTATCTCCAGTTGAAGATCTTCTTTTGGACTTCACCCCCACCACCCACCGACCCTCTGGCCACAGACCTCCGCATTAACCTCCCTCACATTCCTTCCTTCCCATCCCAAGGTACTGCTCCGCACAGTTTATCTCTGCCCCCACGTGTAGTAAAGCCATGCAGCCTTGCTGTGTTTCCTGCCTACCGTCTCACAGAGGGCCCGGTGAGGCGCACCCTCGAGAAATGTTTGAAGATTTTGTTATATATTTATTTTGAACCAATTGTGTTATTTACTTAGAAATGCGTGTACTACCCTGCTTCGATCCTATTTTATTACATCTGCTTACTATTGTATAATGCAATCACTGCTGTGATACTCTGTAGCATGGTCTGCGTGAAAGTTTTTCATTTGTCCCCAGTCCCTCTCGATGGTTCCCCATGTGGGCCCTTTTCTGCCTTGACCCTTTCTCTTTTTGTGACCCTTATTACAGGGTGAGAGGGACATTTTCTCAGCCCCATGGTGTATTTCCAGGAACTTAGGTCACTGAAAGCTTGGAGGGAGCTCAAAGAGGATGGCAGGTTTCCTGCCTGTAATGTAGCTCACAGGCTGCTTTTCCAGGATGCATTCAAATTTCTTTTAGTGTTCCTGCTAAGTAACCAACCCGATCTTGTTCAGATTTGTGACTAACGGACACTGTTTTTCTTGTTAGAGCATGAAGAGGAGCTGGACCAAGAATTTGAGCTGGAGACTGACGCTTTATTTGGAGGACTGAAGAAGGTACAAGGTGGATAAATGATGACACTTCTCAGTTTCCAAAACGGACCTCAGGTCTGGGGTACAGCTCAGTGGTAGAGCTCTTGCCTAACCCTCTGCACAGCCGTGGGTTCACCGGTCCCCAGCACCGCCAAAAACAGAAACAAAAACCCACCTGATGCCAATTGTTTACATTTCTGTTGTGTTTGAGTTTGCCCCGATAGTGTGCTATTCAGGACCAGTTAGGAATTACGTGTCTTCCCTGTGGCAAAGGTGTAAGTGTGCTGTGTTGGATGAGGTGTTCCCACAGTCTTTATTTTCTTAGAGTAGTTGGGGCTGATGTACTACGGAGGAACATTTAGGGAACTGCTACTGAAAGGGGCCTTGTGCTCCTTATCCTGATGTCTTATGAGTGTTACAGGCAGGCAGTTCCTCTCTTCTCGTCCTGAGAACGTGTTTTCCTGTGGCAGGCTTCTGAAATTTGGGCAGATCCGTATGTAAGCTGTTCTTGCAGTAGTAAAATCAGAGAGGACTTTACAGAGCCTGTGAGAAGAGACACAAAGGATGGAAGAGGAAACTTGGTGATTAATGTCTTTGAGTGCAGACAGAAAAGAGGCACTTTTCTAAGTAAAGCCATGACTTTTAGCTACTCAAGCTTTGCCTCCTATAAAGATTTTAAGATTGAGGCTATCTATAAATGCCTCTTTATTCCAATACTTTGAAAAAATAGCATCGCTCTGTCTTGATTCATGTAGCAAATCCCAAGTGCCTGCTGGGTGGAAGGCCCCTGTGGCGGGGCCGCTGATGTTCCAGGCTCTGTCTCTGTCCTCTCTGGCCTCTGAACACGAGGAGCTGGTGAGGGAGAGATGCCACCAGCCTCAGGCTGGGGAGAAACAGGCTAGCGGACCTGATCCTGGAGTGCTCTCTGGTGTGGGCTGGGGCACAGGGCCTGCAGCTCTGGGGCTGAGAGCCACGATGGAGCTCGGCTTCAGGGTTGAGTGGGATGAGGAGGCGACCCGTGACAGGTAGGGGGCAGCCCCAAGAGGCCTCACCGCCGCATGTGGAGTCTAGATGGCAGAGGACAGTTGTCAAAGGTTTCAGCTGTCACTTTGCTGTGGGCCTTTTCAGGAGCCTGCTGCCAGGTTTCCCTCCTCTGCTGCCTGTCTGTCCATCCCATTTGCTTGGTTTTGCAGAGCTAACCCCTTGCTATTAACTTCACCTTCTTTTCCTGTGGCTCCTTGGAGCTTTTCAAAGCAGCAGACACTATTTTCTGTGAAGTAATAAATAGCCCAGAGAGGAGAGCAGAGCAGCGTGCTGCGTAGCTAAGAGCTGATGAGCAGAATTGATGTTCCTGCATTAGCTTTGCAGATCCCGTTTTTATGAAAGGTGGAAAGCTGCAGTCCCCATTCCCGACCCCACCAGACAGTCACCACCCTTTCCCTCTGTCCTTACCTGATGCAGGCAGATGTTCTGCACACCCAGAAGGAATCCGGCAGGGAGAGCAGACCAGAGCTGGCCACTGCAGAAGAGGAGCTTGTGTGTTCCAGAGGGGACAGTTAGCGTGCATGCATCCTCCTTGCGTCACGCACCTGTGGGCTTCTGGCCCCGCTGTTTGAGACCCCTTCTCTGTGCCCAGAGGGACCCACACTGAGCAGCCCCTCTGCGAAGGGGAAGGCGAACAAAGCAAACACTGCTGAGCCCTGTGCTCCCTCGTGTCCCCGGCACACTGGCCTACTCGACTCCGGCTGGGTCAGGGCGCTGGTGCACGGATGGCAGCTGTCCCTCCCAGGAACGTGAGGCTCAGCCGCAGCCGTCAGGCCCCGTGGGTCTGTCTTAGCCTGACCCCGTGGCCCAGACGTGATGAACGCCGAGGGTTGAGGCAGGGGAGAGGCTCGCTCTACGTGAGTTTACCCTGCATCCGAGAGAGCAGATGACGCGGCCACCTTGGGGTGATGCTCACTTACCTGACAAGGGCAGTGTGAGCAGACAGGCTGTGCACAGCAGGCCCTGCCCTGTGGCCTGGCGGGACATGGAGCAGAGGGTTCTGTGTGCCTGCTGTCCCTGGGTGGGGGCTGACCTGTCTGGGAGGCGCTTGCCTTGGAATGACCAGGAATGCTTTCTGGAGGAGGCGGCTTTGAGTCCAGCTCCGAGCACAGGTGTTATGTTTTGAGTCGATCCAAGTTTATCAGTTTGGTTAATAACAGCGAAGTTCTTTGTTTTAGTCTTGGCACCTTCTGGCAGCTGGAGGTGGGTAGGAGTCGAGTCTCCTCTCACACAGCTTTGCTGCCCGTGCTGTTTCAATGTGTGTCTGGTGTCCCTCTGCCGCGTGCACTGACATTTGTGAGCAGGCAGGTGCCGAACCCACCCCAGCCTGTCCCCAGGAGCTCCTGGGCCATCTGTCTCTGTGCACCCAGCAAGCGGCCCAGGGTGGCTCCTCCGCAGTGCAGTGTGGACAGCACCCCACCGAGGCCTCCACCGGAGCTTTGGGCGCTGCCTCCAAGGATGTGGATGCTCCACGCTTCCAGTGGGCAGCCTGGGAACAGCTCTGAGCCACCGTGTTGGGCCCACTCTCATTAACAAGTATTTATTTCTGGGCTGGGAACTACTCGAGTTGTGGCCATGTGTGGGATGTGGGTTTCTGGTTGGATCCGTCAGGGCTGACTCGTTCCTTCTTGAGTGTGGTCCCTATCTGGGCACTTTCGATGCTGACCGCTGACCCTAGGAGTGTAATGAACACATGCCGTAGACCTGCCCCGCCAGGCAGGGATCAGGCAGAGGGCCTGCTCCAAGCAGGGCAGGTTGAACAGAGGCTGCGAGCTGAGATCTGGGGGAGTGGGAGGGGGAGACATTTCTTTTCCCTAAAAGCAGTGCCTGTCAGCGTTCTTGAAAAGGTTATTACCTCTGGAGAGCACGGCGTGACAGCTGAGGGCTCTGAAAGGAAGAAGTCTGGAGCAGCAGCCGGCACGTGCTGAGCAGAGCGGGGGACGCATGGGGATGGGCAGGCCGCTCTGAGAGGGGAGCTGACTGAGCCGCTTTTGGGGTGACAGCTGCTGCTGCAGAGGTGGAGGAGGAGGCAGGTTATTCCATATGACCTCACTCCTAGGCTCTGTGAAAGCAAATCTCAGATCAAATTGTGGTTTTTCATGTGTAAATTTTTCTGAACTCTGCCTTGTTAGTTAGCATTAGTGATGTTAAGGAGCAGGACCAGCCAAGGCATTTAGGGACTTCCTTTTTGTCACACAGGGAGATGTCTGTTAGAAAGCAGTGTAACTCAGCCTGGCATGGTGGTGCTGGCCTGTAATCCTAATACTTGGGAGGCTGAGGCAGGAGGGTCTAACTCTGCGAGTTAGAGGCCAACCTGGGCTATAGTGAGTTCAAGGCCAGTCTGAACTACACAGGGAGGCCCTGTCTCAAAAACACAAAAATAAATAAATAAAATTTAAAACAACAAAATAAAGAAAACAATGCTGTATTCTCAAGGCAAGTCCCTTCCAAACAGATATAAGGATATGGGTTTTTAAATTCCTGGATTCTAGTTTGCTAAGGCAGGAGGATTTTACATTCAAGTCCAGCCTAGGAAATTTAGCAAGACCTTGTCTCAAAATTTAAAACAGAACCAGGGATATAGTTCAACTTTAATACCAGAAAAAAATACATGGACAAAATCTAGTTTCCTAAACTGTGAATCCATATGGAAACATTAGGAATGATCTTCAAACCCTTGTTTGTTTCTGTTTCTAGGGTTCATAATGCTAACAAGTCAGATTCCGAAACAAACTTATACAAGGAAAACAAAACCCTGTCCTGTTACTTCCTAAAACTCACTTACTGTACCCATCTTCCTCGAGAGAAGCGCATCCTTTTCACCAGAGTAAGCAGTCCTGCAGAGCAAGGCCTCAAAAAATTGGTTGAGAACTCAGATTTGTTTCTCTCCATGGAAATCTTTAGTAAAAGGCAAAAGATTTATTTGATGTGAAGAGAAACCAGAGCATGTGTTGACCTACTTTATCTTGCTGTACCAGTAACTGCATCTAGGGCTCACTGATGGTGACTTTTTATCCCCCAAGTGCTGGTTACATTGTAAAGTTGTTTCTAGAAGACATTCTGTAGGTTAGTTTCTCATATTAGAAATGTTGAATTGAAAGACACACCCAATTTTTAACTTTAAAGAATTGGACTATGTGGAAGGCACTATGGACATGCAAATGACAGATCTGAATCATTAACTTTCAGTCCCATGGTCACCCTAGCACCCCAGCCTCCTGGGCCACCAGGAGGGGGAAGCAGAGTTCTATAGCCTCCTCCCAGTTCAACAACAGAAACTGCTTTAACCACAGATGTGTGTCAGGGTTTTGAGTACAGTTTATGTTTTGTCATATTGTAAAAGCTTTCATTTGGAAATAATTATACACAGGAAATGGCAGTGATAGTACAGAGAAGTCCCTCCCTGCCTCCCCAGTGGGGAGTTTTGCACAGCCAAAGTGGACATCAGTACCATCAGACTTTACTCAGATTTCACCAGGCCCGTGAGGTACTCACTCGTGACCTGCAGTTTGTGCAGTTTTATGCTCAAACATGCAGATTCCCGCCACCACCAGCACAGCAAAGGAGCAGACCCTTAAAGAACGGCCTCCCACTGACTAAGCCTTAGCACACCTGCCTCCTCCACAGTGCTCTGTGTCCCTTGCATGATACAGACCACGAGCATGTGACTGCATCCAGACGGCAAGAGCTCTGGGTGAGAGGTCCAGCTCTTTGAGCACAGGGTAATGACGCTGTTTGACCCCAGTGATGTTTTTTCTGAAGTCATCTTTACCTGGTATTAATATGGCCATTCTTCTTTCTTTTATTAAAGTGAATTTATTTTCTTCCTTTCCATTCCGTTCCATCCCGTTCCTTTCTGTGTGTGTTGGGGATTGAGCCCAGGGCCTTCCGAATGTACTTGGTCTATCACCGAGCTACACCTCAAAGCTGGAAGTGAATTTCTTCTGGAGGGGGTCATTTTTTAACCATCCACTCTGCCA